TAAATAAAAATGGTGGAAACTAGCGGTAAACTAGTACGAGCTGCGTCGGTGTTTTTTGTGTAAAAAGATAAATTTTAACACCGTAAAAAAGTAGGTGAAACAACCTACTGGCGTTTTGGACGTTAATCAATAAATATCAAAATGGTACATTGGAATGTAATAAAAGAATTAAAATTACGATCTTATTARTGGGATAAATTTCTAGCAAAATAAGCCATGTCAAACTTCAATTTAAAGTGCAAAGCTGCAACTAGCCTTCTTTTGCTCCTTTGGTCAGCAATGCCTTACTGGCGCAACCTATACAGATTATCGAAAAGGTTGTTGACTTGATTACCTTTTAATTTAGATACTAGGTTGATTGTGAAAATTTAATGTAGCCTGTTAACCAATCAGTTTTTTTATAGCATATAATCAAGAAAGACGTGAAATTTGAATTATAGAATGTGGTAGTCAAATGATACCTCGTATTGTCCAGTATCTCCCTCGTCCTTCTTCTTCTGAATGCCTTTAAACATCTCATCACAAAATATAGGTACAATTCCTGGTAAGAAAAAATAAAGCAACGTTAGGCCACACGTAGCATACTAATCGCAATTTATTGGATAGTTTCTTGCATAGTTTCTTTTATTTTCTCTTCAATTCCGAAAATCATCCTTATAAGCTCATACTTTCCATGCATTTGAATCACGTTTTACATTATAGCGTACCTTTATTGGCACCATATCCAACAATTGACCAGGATTTACCAGACCCAGTCTGTCCATATGCAAACAGCGTACTGTTGTAGCCATCCCAAGCATTGTTCAGAACTGATTGTCCTACGTCGTTATAAACTTTTCTCTGATGAAAAAACCGTAAAAGGTCTTTACTTGGTTAAATCAAAGTACCGTTTTTGGAAATACGACGAAGGGAATAGTGTGTTTTATAGACTTTAGCAGACTCTTWCCAGTACGCCAGAGGGGTTACATTGAGAGAGTAGGGGGAAAAGCCACACGAAAGACTAAATATGGACTGAKTACAAACCTGATCTGCGTAATTGGGCGCTACGGCTCCCAGATAACCAGTTTCGTCCTCTGCAAAGCCGTCATGAGACCAGTAGCTGTAGTCAAATGTAAAGCTTTTTGGTTCATCGTTGGGTGCTTCGGGGTCAATAAGTTTGGTAGTTGCACCACTCATCTGGACGATAAGGGTGGCATTTCGCGCCTTTTCTCGCTTATTGTACGAACAGTTAAGAAAAACATTAACATTGACAGTATTGATGGTACTGATGATGATAAATCATAATRATTAATTATCAATTTCAATTATCAATCGCGATTCGATTATTATTAAAGAATCCCAACCAACCACAATACAGCGCGCGCGCTCATGTTATTGTTTACATACGTTTAAATGCGTCAAGCATACAATAGATTATAGATTGATAGTACTTGTGCGGTATTTCGTCCAAACTGAAAGGATGGAAGACGATTCGCGCTCACTTTAAGAAATCCTACAAATCGGCCATTTTCGTGTTCAACTAAAATGGCGCTTCGGCTTGCAAGGTACAGCGGTTGGTTGTGATTATTATTACAGTCATCATCGCGATTTGACATCATTATGTGAGATTGCAGCGTCATTYTGGCATACTAAACATATACATGCATCTTGGCATTTTAACCCGAAAATTTTTATATGGGTTACACGAAAACAGTGATCTTTCTTTATAAAACATTCCTATTCAACATCGTTTTCGGTAAAAACGCATTAAAAATAGCGCTCAAATCTAAGCTAATAAATTAAAAATAATATATATTCAGCACAGAATATCGACAATAGCCGACTTGCGAATTACGCATCAATAGTCACATACAAAGGAATCAAGACGAGGCGCCGTGCTTTTTTGTGAAAAATATATTGTCTTTAGCACGGCGCCTCGTCTTGATTCCTTTGTATGTGACTATTGATGCGTAATTCGCAAGTTGGCTATTGATGTGATGTGTAGAAAACAAAGGATTTAGTATTTTGCTAAGRACTATTAAATCAGTAGTGAAATATTCATTCACAGATTATTTGATTTGTTCAATCACAGCGGGCGGGCTGCTTTTGCTCGATCCAAGGTTCTCGATTTTTCTCTTTGGAAGGACCGCATTTGAAATGATGACCATGGTTTTTGACTAGATTTTTCCAATGAAAATGAATTTTGTCTTATTGTGCTTTTTTTGCCTCGCCTTTGTTAACCGAGATTTTTTTCTTATGAATGGAATGAATGGGAAAAATGGGAAATTTGAAATAAAATGGAAAATGATATCTTCTCAAGAAATTGTTTACAATCGTCTTGGGGAAAAAACTAAAATCCATATAAGTAGCTGACTTCCTTTTCAATTTGATGTCATTAACTGGAGCAATTACTATGTTCCGAAAGTAGAAATYCAAACAACACYGAACGATTAGGCATTTTATCGATMCAAATAAAAGRTCCAACTTCAAATCACGTCTCGTGATCTTGTAGTTTAGGATGTCGAGATGAAAGGAGATGTAAACATGATAAAACTCTTAAAAAGTGTTGAGCAATAATTTGTGCCTGACCAATAGAGTTAATATATCTGGTTAATAACTTGTAAAATTAATTGTTGTTTTTTTCTGAAGTTTGAAGTGTTATCAAATAGACGTCATTAATACGAAAATTTATTGAATCAAATCTTTATGCACGAAAGATTAAAAATTCTACCACATATCACTTAACATTTAGACCAAAATATACTTTGAGATGCCGGGGGAGCTATGAATAAACTAAAGCTCTACGCTTGGCTGAATAAACACATCGTGCAGATAAATAATATTCTATACCATGGCAATATGGAGTTTAGCTTATAATGGCGACAAGCTATACATATTAAAACTCAATGCATCAAAAATTGASACAACCACACTTTAAAGGATATAAATGGYCGAACTCTAACAGCGACTTTGACGTTTTCTGCCATATCTTAAGTCCTTTAGAGTCCAATCGAGTCGTAAATCAACAGCTTCAACGTTCAGATTTGTAAGACGTCTTGGATTTTGACGAAGGAAACGAAATACGACCCTCTGTATTGAATCCAGTATATGAATGRCCCTTTCGATGTAGAATTTTGAGTTTCTCGCGATACAGGTTTATAATTTGACGTAYCAATTACGGTAATGGACTGTTGCTATGAAAATATACGAATATACAATAACAAAAGCACCAACACAGGAAGCCCGGCTCAGCTCCTGGACATGCTCTACGAAAATTATCATTTACATYTAAAAATTATCATTTAAAAATACCTCTAATTGTTCATACACAATTAACTATTCATATAAGATTAAATAKTAAAGTTCCTTTATTAAATTCATTCTAAAGATGGGCAAAAAAATCGTGATTTTTTTCTGTTATGTCCAAATATTTATTACCATAGCAACAAGGGATTATTTTAACTAAAGCCTTTGACATCACAAAAGATTAATCATTTTTTATTGAAATCGTTTGAGCTAAGATCTTTATTCCTACTCAGACAAGACAATAACAATGATTCTAGAAAAACTAATAATAGCTAAATAAAAAGGAATGGTTTGCCACCTGTAGTTGATATGYGCTTTGTGAAACATTTGCTAACAGCAGTGCAKATTTTTTCAGATGGGCRTGCTTTTATTTTGAAGTTCAACATGAACATGGTTCAACATGGTTTTCATGAAGTTCTGAAATAACTTTATTATTCTTTATTTCACTTTTTCTTTTGTTTTGTTGGACATAACGTTTTATTCCACTTTTGTACTACACCAACTTTGTTCCCTGGCATTTTGAAWATCACCTTTGTAACTTAGTCACTCTTTCACTTAAAGATWAATAATTGTTGTCAATGTTATATTCAAATCAGGGGATGTTAACAAACAATAACAATAACAATGTTACAGTATAAACACTAAAACCATGAAAAATTATAGCAATGAATAGTGTTGAATTGTACTGAATTTTGTGAATTTCTTTGTTTTCTATTGTCTAATCTACCCTTATTTAAATTATATAGCACTATTTGATGTTTTTCACATTTTTAGTGTAATTGCACTCTAACAATCATAACGAGTTGACTTTGTTTTAGTTATCCATCAAAAGAGTCTTAGTTTCATTATTATATGATAACTATTAGCAATATTTATGGATTATGGAGTACACACTCTTTAGTGGTTAAAACACAAGAAAAACCAATAAACGATATTATTAATAAAAGAACAACCATTTATTATTGTAAATGCCTCTTTTCCTTTTCACAAAACAAATATACATGCAGTTGAAGTAAACAAAATAAAACTGCAACAAGTCGAAAGCAACAACTGACAACACGTTTTACCATGGACACAAGTATATCTAGTAACAAAAGTCTTTTCACACAAATTAAATTGATTTGGATGTTAAGTTTTCTTCATACAAGCAAGAGAAAACATCCTTTTTTTGCTGGATAGTAATTATCAATAGTAGAAAAGCAAAATATACATAATAAAAATTCCTATTAAATAACATTTTGAGATTATGAAGTTGTAGGAACTGCACCCTGACTTTGAAGCTGAGCTTGAATCTTTCCATTCATRGTCTCAATAACAGCTGAAAAACAATGATATCAAACACATCTTAGTCTCATCTAGTCTCCAACTTAACTTTCTGCTGGTTCATTTTTAAACTAGCAAATATATGGCTGCTCAAAGTTAATGATATTTCCAAAGAGACATGTTTGTCTTTCCATTTAATTCTTAGTGAATTCTACAAGTAGCATTTTTTTGAAGAGCTGTCAATGGTTTTTACTGATCTGATTGAAACCATACTTATCAAATTCATTAATAATTTACAAGGTAAACACAATGGAAAATCATCTTTATATGAGCAAGAGATTTGTCCTGATTTGCATACGACTTTGACTTCGATTTTCTCTTACAAATGATATTTTATCCTGAAGTTTTTTTTCGAAATATGCTTCATCTTATGTTGGAATTTGATAAGCAATATAAAATATTTGTGTCCGACCTTTATGGGCTATAAAACTGCTCACTTGCAGCTCGCAGTTTTAAATGCCCATAAAGGTCTTCTGCTCATATTTTATATATTACTTCAGAATTTTTCCAAGGAATGTAAGTTTCTTTCTAATCATCTTACTGTGCCAGCTTTAGAGGTATTTATTGTACTTCACTGTGTATATTTTTCATTGTATTCTACATACACACATAGGAAAAGAAAGTTCTGTCACGAGTTCCAATCCCTACCTTGTCTCATTTTGTGCTTTTCTATGAGAATTGGTTGAAGTTTTTCTATTTGAGTGGTAACATAATCCATTTTTCTTTGAAAATACTGCTCTGCATCTTTAAGATCCTTAAAAAAACATGGTGTACAATAATTATTACATCACTTACATGCATCTTTTCTCCACATGAAATGACAGCAAAAAACTGAAAATACACACTTACAGCACATGTCATCAGCATGATTCATTCGACTATCGTGCCTCACAAACCATTGACAACGACAGTAACATACAATGTCAACAGTAATAAAGTACCTTTTCAGCAAAGTAACCAGTTCCTATGTCAACCATGACAGACTTGATATCTTCTAAAGTACCAGGGACATACATCTATGTGTTGTTAAAGTTAAAATGTGTCTAATAGCATATTTCAACTCGACTGATTAATCATTACGATACATCAAGTCAAGTAAACCTTTGCTCATTATGTACCAGCTACAGTACTTCTAATGACTAGCATATTATAGGGGTAATGAATGTTTAAAGTCAGACAATGAAGACTGGGCAGGACTTTAAGTCTATGATATCCGCTCAAGTTTGAGATGCAATAGAGACTTGAGGGGCTCATTTATCAAAATACTTTTCTGTCAAATTCTCAACTTAGTAAAACAGTTCTTGCTACTGGAAATCTGTTTGGCAGTTATTGCTTGAAAGGATTTCCTCTGATTTTCACTTGGTATAAATAAATCTCCAAAATCTGCTAATTGAGTTTTTTAAAAGAACAACCTTTTCTTTTTTTTTTCAACAGATTTTGGGATTAGTTTAGCTGGAAATCCTATTACCCAAACTTTAAACATGATGTGGTGTCACCTTCTTCTTGCAATTATGATTCAAATTGCCTATGCGTCTTGGCTGTAATGTGTCAGTAATCTTCACAACAAAGACATAATATAGCTGTCATATTGCTTTGTCATGTGTGAGTTGCTTGTACAAACTAGTCTTTAGTTTGACTTCTTCATTGTTTGTACTATTATGGTKGAAAAGAGTTGATTCTCAAAAGGATACAGAACTGCTAAGTGGGACAAGAATCTGTTTTCCTAGAGAGAAAGCAATAAGATATCGTAAGATGCTGACCAATAGTGCAAACAGCTTTTGTAAACTGTAAACCAGCCCTACCTGTATCTTGTTTTTTCATTTTAACAACATTATCCTTGGAGTCCTTGAACTTCTGTTGTGCTACTTTGAGTTGCCCCAGAGAATCACTCAGCATTTTGACTTCCTAAAATCATTATCAACATCAATTAAAGCCTCATATTTTAATATATTGAAAGGAACAATAATTGCARGTCTTACTTCTTCTAATTGACCCCTAAGCGCTTCTAAATGTGGGATTTGAAGCTGACTTATTTCAACACCCTGCGCCATTTTGTTTTCTCTGGTGTGGATTCCACAGGAAGCCCGTTTGATTTGATGTGTAAACTTTCGCAAGACATTCTGGGATTTGATGCTTTCCACTTCCGGCCATTCATCGTCGCGTCGGTTTTTGTTTCACAGGAAACTTGACAAAAAGAGCCAATATAAAATACATCCGGRGATCGGTAAAAGTAATATTTTCTTTTGTTCAGCTTGATCAATGTATGTATATTTTCTGTACATGATTGAGTCAACTTCAATTATTTCAATGACAAAAAGAAAACACTCCTTGTCGGATTTTTATTCATTTATTCATTCTTTTATTCACTTGTCAAAAAACATCAGTTATGAATTGTTCGCGTGCTCTTTTGTGTTGCAGCGTTCCTTTTTCCAATCTATTGTTTGAAATCTTTAAAAAGGCTTTTTTTATATAAATGCGCGTATCAGAACGTGGAACTTACGCACTAACTCTCTTGGAGTGCTTCGACGATAAGAATAAAGCCGCGTAAAATATGCTTTTATTAAAAGAAAGCAAGGGAATATGATATGACAMATAAACATCAGCACCACTGTCATAAAATAAGGAACGGCATAGGTCACGTGAACTGTTCCCGCGCATTTGTCACTGCGCACGCTTTGAGTCGCTGTGCTGTTTACTTTCGGGCTTTATTCGAATTTATTCCAGATTTTCGCTCATTTTGAACCATGTAACTARMGGGTTAATCGCTGTGAAACTAAGGTGAGTACAGTTTRAACTCTAAACGACTAGTTTATATGTAAAAGTAGAAATTTCGGTGCTTCTGTTGGGGATTTGAAATCAAAGAAACAAATGTAATGTTGTTATAATTTAGCCTTTTACCCGCGCTTCGCTCATTCTCGTGAACGTATCAAATTATGCCTTTGTTTGATTGAATGCGGAGGAAATCTGCCCTTTTATTTCAAAAGATTTACTCGTGAACAAGAAAACATGGTTTCATTTTCTTTCGTGGTAGTTAAGAGTCAAGAAGAAAGCACACGTGCGATTTCTCAGCTGTCGTGAAYGAATATTCCCCGTACTTTCAGTCGCGGTGAAGTCTGCATCAAGACCCAACTAAATCAAGRGAAATTTGAATTGCAAATTTGGTCATTGTATATTTATGCTTTGAATCGCAGAAATCCCCTCGATAATCAACGAAATTTTGCTGTTATTTTTGATTGAAAGGCTTATTATCTCTCAGAGGATTGTCAATAAAAGTATTTACGGCGAACCTTTCTTCGGTGGAAGAAGCCATCATGCGAAAGCTTACAGATGCAATATTTCTTTTGTGATCCAATTCCATAATTTTCTTTAATGCTCAAAAACAAACCCCGTATATATATAGACAACAATAGACTAGGACTCGTAATATCTTATTTCGGAATTCGGATATTATGTACAAATCAAATCTGTTCTCTAAATTTTAAGGGAAGATCTTTTGACGGGATCTATAAGCTCAATTTTAGAAATTCACCCGCTGAAAATCAATACCCAAAGGCCTGTTCGTTAGTTTGGACTATTATTTTGACCATCTGAAGTATTTTTGTGCTTTTATGTAAATAAAGATACGGCAAACCAAATTTCCTCGGTGAAAATCGTATTTGGTTGGGGTTCATTATGGCAGATGCAAATTCATGGCGAATGGTAGTGTGTTCGTGTCTTTAGTATGATTTATACGTTCTATTGACATTTCAACGARCGAAGAAGKCTTTTCATTCGCTCGAACATACAACAACTCATGTTTTTCTTTAAAATTCGTTTTGCAATTATTCCTAATCCATCAATTTCAAACTAGAAATTTGACCTTCACTGAACAATTGCAAATGGAATTAAAGTTATATGTTATGCTATATAAAACAAGCTTAAAATTTGAAATATTAATTTTGGTGATTTAGTAGAAAAGTTTTTTTGAGAAATATTTTTGTGACAATCCATATAATATTTATAATAGTCAAGCAATAAAGGAAAGGGGTAGACCCAGGGGGTGTCAACATCTTCACCAGACATCCCCCTGATGCCATAATTATACCTTTTTTGTACAACATTTTTTGTGTTTACCTAACACCCTCTAAATACTATATGAGTAATATGCYGACCCCTGACAATTTCCTGAATCTATTCTATCGATCAGTATGTTACTCTTTTCCTATCCAACATGCTCAAGTGGCGATATTTTGCTAATAATACTACTATCCATGCTCAATTGCTGATGCATTTAGTAGTGAAATAAAACACTTGTGGACCAATTAGAGGATGAAAACCTCCATGAATCTATATATTATAATGCTCTATTTTGCTGTTCAAGAAAAGATTATAAATTATACAGTTTGAATTTCTTTTTAACGCCAGTATTTTATTGTTTGAAAATGAATTTAAATACTAGAATATTTCTGTTAAAGTAATATTTATACAGTTTTATGTCTGATCAAATTAGTATTGCTATTATATTTCATTGAAAATAATGAAGACTTGAAATGTTAACTTTGTGTTTCCTAATTATTGATTTTGAAGTATGACTGCAGGAACAAATGCATGGAAATTTTCATGTGTAAATCAGGGAAAAAACTCATGACGCAGAAACACAAGGAAATGAAAACCTTTTTCAATGTTTTTCTAATTCTGCTTCTGTTGTAAGAAAATTGCCGTGAATTGCTCTGATGCTGGTATGTCAATTGTGAACTGGCTTTTGCTAATGTTTTCTTTTCTATATAGATTTTACTTTGCTGTTGTTTAAATCAAAAAGATGGAAACTCTAAAACAACAAAACACTGATTTACACCTAGCACCAAAGTCACCTCAGAACAATGGCACACTTGAAGATGACGCTACTGATAGCAATGCCAACATAGTCGACCCAAAACCTGATATACAAACAGCTAAATCMGTRCTTCCAGTRTCTGTAAAGACAGAAAGTYCGAATAGCAAWAATGGTAATCAGGTTGCTAGTCAAGATGTCATTATTGCATCCAATGAGAATGCAGGAAGTGTTGCTATGGATACATCAGTCAGTGAGCCAATTAAAAGTGAACCAAAGGATGATYGAGAYGCACAGAGTCTAAAGAGTAAGATATCTGTAAGCGATTATTTACAAAGTGCTGTCCCCCAGGTGTACCAGACAGCCCCTGCCACAGTAGTGGAGGACAAGGATGCAAAAAAATACAACCAAAAAGCCAACGATGTAAGCCAGCAGCCTGAAGTGTCAAAGATCCAACTAATCCAYCAGTCGCTACAACATCATTTGATTCAACAGCAACAACAGCCACAGCATATATCGTTGCCATATACAGTTCAAGGGCAACCAGGCATAACAACTTATATACCTGTCGACGGATCACAAGGTCTTATTCCTGGAATGATACCATACACAGGACAAGTAGTTGTTGTCGGCAACCCAAGCTCTTTGCAAGCCTACAAAACTGTGCTTCCTCAGGGAACGCAACTCATCACTTCAACCACTGCAGGAACAACTCGGATTATACCAGCCACCCCTGCTTCTGCACATGTTGTTGATGTGTCAAACTGGCATGCTGTGACTGCTGTCGATCCTCTTACAATTAAAACATCAAGTGTTGGCCAAACTACAGCTGCAAGTCAAGAGCCAGTGACCAGAGTTGTAAATGTTGTTGTTCACAGTGGGCAGGCCAGCATGTTATCAAGTGAACCAAATAACCAAGACAACTTGAAAGTGGCATCAATGGTGAGCTCATCTTATGTTGATGACGACGACGACTCTGAGGACAAGTCGACACCAGATGAGCTTCAAGATTTTGCCAGGCAGTTTCGCCAGCGACGTGTTGCTCTTGGCTTCACACAGGCTGATGTTGGCATTGCCCTTGGGGAGATATCCAACAACAACCTCAGCCAGACGACAATATGCCGTTTTGAAGCATTACAACTAAGCCTTAAAAATATGTTGAAGTTGAAACCTTTACTTGAAAAATGGCTAAGGTCTGTTGACAGGGGGATGAATCCCTCCAAGGATACGGAAAAAACTGACCCCATCGGCACTCTGCCCAGCCAGAATGGCTCATACAAGAAGAGAAAACGTAGAACAATTATAGAAAAGACAGTGAAAAGTGTCTTGGAAAACCACTTTGATAAGTTTCCACGTCCAACATCAAATGATATAAGTACGCTAGCAGAGACTCTCAATCTTGACAAGGAGGTGGTAAGGGTGTGGTTTTGTAACAGACGGCAAAAAGAAAGGCGTGTCAGTTCATCATCAATAGTATCTAGTGATGAAAACGTTGCTGGTCAGACACCAGAAACTGAACAGTCATAACGCGTAGTGATGGAGTGTACCATTATAATATTGGTTAGTGTATGTATTAGATTTGTGATGTATATATTATATTTGAGGATGCGATATCTCCTTTGAGTGCCTATCTATATTCTGACAGTAGTCAATAGAAAATAATATAAGATATTCAAGAGTGCAGTAGAGCTCCATATGTACTTAGAGCGATACACATAAGAGCAATCATACACCATTGCTGTAACATGCATTCAAAACAGGGAAAGAGGTACATAATACTCTGAACTTGTGGAGCCAGGTTGTTCAAGTTTAAGCACTGGCAAATGTTTTGCAGCAAAAAGAGCCATTAAAAAAAACACAAGAAAAATTGACACCAAACTCTAAGAACAGCAATGTTCCACCGCAGGTTCTTGTATCTGGTATTTCTTAGCCTTAAGGTCAGTTGTTCAGCAGGTCTTTGTTACATTTTTGATATATTTTTGACAAAGTTGACACATCTTACTTAATTCAATTTCCATTCACAAAGCATATAAAAGCATTATGGTTTGCTCTCTATCATTATTAGAGTACTGGTATTGATATTTTCTTGATACACTTAAACTTTGAAGTATTTGGTGCTGTTTTGTTCTCCGTTTTAATGTGATGCTGTCATTGGGAGTGACGACAGATTCTTTTGCGCAGAGACCTTACTGAAAACGAAGGAGACAACCAGAAAATAATAAAATACAATAGCCCTTACTAACAATTTGCATTTTCCCCAAGTTGAAGCTAACCTGCATTCCTAGAAGTCTTAACCTTTGAGCCATTTGGGAATACAGGGTTAGTTTAAATTTGGGAAAAATCAAATTTTCAAGGCTGTTGTAAGAACAGTATTTTTTGTGCTTTGCGTTTGGTAAGGTCTTTGCCCAAGCAAAACTCACGTCCTCTTGTGACAGTGTCTCTTTAATCCCAAGTGCAATAAGATTAAGCACTTTTTAACATTTGCTCACTTTGTATCCAGTTGTTTTTAATATTACATTTTAGTGATAGATGCTTGAAAAAAAGTATATAAATTAACTTAAAAAGTATTTCAAACTTAATTGAAACACTCTGCATTAAAATAATGTCAAACTGTAAATCAAATCTATGATTTTTGTGGGTCTCTATAGTTATGGTTAGCTTCTCTGGCAAGATTTATTTACAGTCCATCATCATAGTGTCCATGTTTATCAAATAAACAGGATGTGATTTGCTGACCAACATTGTAATTTTAACCTTTTTTTGCAATTCCCACAGCTGTCTTGAAAATAATAATATTAAAGTGATATTAATATTGAAGTGAGATAGCAGTAGTCTATTTTCCAATTCCCTGCACCATRTTCAAAGGAAGACYTGTCTTTGCATTGATAGAAACCTTTCTTGATTCCCTGCGCCATCTTGTAAGGTAGCATTGAAGGGAGATGACAATTGAGCGTGCAATGATTGGATACCTGCAAATAATTGTCTGTCGGTGTTAAAGGTTTCTATCATTGCCTGCTCAACAGTTTTTTGCTTCGATGCAAAGGCACAGCTACCTTTCAGGATGGCAACTGTGAAGAAGACTGTTATCAACTGGTATCATTGCGAGTACTCGGTCATCTTGCCTCATGCAGTGTTAAGAGCAGTTACCTTTCAAAATGACCAGAGACTACACGTATTAATTTTATCTTCCGCGTAACGTTTTCATAGGGGTGAACAACTTAAACTGCAGTATCACTTTGAAAATGGCATGGTCACCTTTCAAGGCTGGGAAATGTCAAATAACCAAAAAGAAAATTATTACTTTATATTATAGTCTGTCAGGAATTGAGTTGTACTAGCAAAGTGTTATATCTAATAAATATATATATAGTACATGGAGTTTGTAATTTTTTACTAAATAATGATTCTGAAATAACCTTTTTGATGTGATTGGTGTCTTAAAAACTGACTTTTATAAGCCATTCATATAACTTCTGTAAGCTGGGTCATTGCAAAAACTCACACCAACTACTCCTTAAGATTGACACTCGCTTTTGTATTCAGACAAATCTTACAACACTAATCTTTGCATGCAAACTAGAACCCCTGCATGTCTCTTGTTACTGTAGGAACACTGGTCCATTACAAACTGTGACTTTCACACAAAACACCTAACAAACAATAAATCATGACACTTGAAATATTAGAGAAAAACCCATTTTATTCTATGCAGCAATTCCTTATATTAAAATGATTTAACAACTAACTTTCAGGTGCAAATAAAAACTAAAACTAAATTGCAATAAATAAATGCACGGGAAATAACATTATATAACCTCTCTGATTAAGAAACTATTTAATGCTAATTAATGACTGAACCGAACAATGGGTGTATCGATAGGATGTTGTGCAGTGATGGAGCTTGTTGCATTGACTTCTGTTAGTCTGGCAATCCATGAATTGCAAATAATGCAACAGGGCTCGTTCATTGTTAGAATTTGAGGCATAAATGCTGAGCTATTCAGCAATGCGAATGTAAAAATGCCTTTGCGAAAAGAAATAATTGGGGTGTAAAGTTGTGAATTTATGTATGGATCAACCTTGCCAAACCTACTAAACAACAATATCCTGCAGATACAACCATATATTCAACCATCAATTCATTCGCTCCATCTGACAACATACTACACTAAATATTCTGGTAATAAATAAAACTTAAAATTTCAAATATGGCAATTTAAATATTTGCCAACTATCTAGTATCTAAATCACTACGAAATACAGCTCGTAATAAAAATTATCATAACACAGATAGGATCATTGTATTTTGCTTACATATAGGCAAGCTTGTTGGTGACAACAATGAACTAAATAGGGAAACCTGTACAGAATCAAGCAATACTATACATCCGATTCAGGTTCCATACTTATTTTGGAAATTTATCAGTCAGACATATCTAGCTATGCGAGTCCCAATCAAACCAACTGACTGCAGTCTACTTACTACACTTAAAACAAGATCAGCAAGCAAGCCGCCACAACTATATGTAAACTAAACGACCCTCTGCTTATAAATATTTATGAACTACACAATTGAATTTCCTTGATTGATGGCTAGCAATTACCCTGCCATGTGCCATGGAATTATTTGTACAATACTTGGTACATTATACACTTCTAGTGGTTTTCAACCATATTTTCTAAGCTAAATATTGTAGTGCTTCTTTGTACAGCATTTCACTGAAAAATCATTTCATCTTGACGTAATCTTAATTACTTGGACTAATTTTGAGGTGCTCTCTCAACTTAAGGAAATATTTATTGATTCTGCCCAAGTAACAGGTGCTACCCTCAAAGAATAAGACAATATTATAGAGAGAGTGCATGTCAAAAAAATTTGAAACAATTCTTACCAATCAATATCAACTAAGAATTCACTGGGGGTATAAACTCAATACCAGAAAGGAAAATATTCTTTATCTATGCCTCGCTGAATTCGCTAATGAGGCGCTAATGAGTTAAAAATTGTTTCACACTTATAGATGCACTCATGACCTGTGATTTTCCTTTTTCTGCTTGCTTTCAGTTCACATTTCCTCAGTACATTGCCCTCTCAAAAGCAGGTTTGCTTCTAAACAAAACCTTTCCTACTTGCAGCAAATATGAACATTTGCAAAAGTTGGCAGCAAGCAGGGTCATATTTTGTCATAATTTTCGAGGCACATGTTGAGCAATTCAGATAATTGATTATTAATAGTGCAAAATGCAGAAAGCCACCTATTGAACCCCTGCATCAATGAATAATTCTCTAACTACTTGACGATACTATACAGTGCTTAGTAAAATCAAATTTTGTAACAACCTCAGCTCTTTGTACAAGAGCCAATTATTAACTAGTTAAAGGATTCCAAAATCTCCAATCTTGTGGCAAGTCAGTATAAATAATTTGGAATACCAATTACAAGTAGATTAAAATCATATTTACAAACTTAAGTTGCTATCTACAACAAAGTTGTTCTCTGAAATAATTAATCATATATGATAATTAAATCAAATTCCTTTTTATAAATAATCGGAAACTAATCGAGCCACTGAGATCCTATTCCTTGTAAGGACACCATGGCACTTTCATGTTTATGAATCAGTGACAATTCATTTGCAATATAGTTTGATTAATAGTTTATAATCACAAGTTGACCAGCAACAAATTAACAACTACCAACAAAATGCTAGGCCATCATATTCAACCTCCTTAGCATTACATTGACGGAGATATAATTATATATCATCCTAAAAATATAACTTCATAATCATGGTAAATTCCTTTTAAATATTCAACTAGACAGTTCTTTTTTGACTTTTCAGAATCCAAAAAAAGGCTCAGAACAAGTAGAACAAAAGTATGCAAAAACTCGGAGACTTTTATGCTAATTTTGATATGCTTCTTCTTTCTTGTCGTGTATTAGTTTCTTGATTGTTTCAAACTGCACGGGGATTTGACACCCTTTTTGAATTCCTGTAAGGCAAATCGAATGACATCATAGCAAATTTCTATTAAATAATGCTTTGTACAAAGTTAACGACCTTTTAATATAGCCTACATTGATGAGGCAAGCTTCTACAAGCTTGTAATTTTGACACCAGCAAACAGGTTGGCATGAAATGATTCCAATTCTGATGTTGGTATATTTTTAATTTTGTCTTCAAATACAGCATCCAGTTCCTTTATAGTCTATAAAAAAAAGAACACAATGTTTGAATGACATACTGGTAAAGACTCTGACACATTCTCCAAGTTAAGGACTTGGCACAYGAAACCCCTAAAAAACTATAGTAATTAGAAGATGTTTTTAAGATGCCTGACTGTATTTGAAAAGCAATATATATCAAGAAATGAAGCCTGTATATCACAAAAGATACTTATCAATACTTTTGTCACTGAGTAGAATACCATTTTGAGTAGAAATGTTTTTCTTTATAAGCACTTAAGAAAAGGTTTATACATTTAAAGAAACATAATTGCACAACAAGATAAAAAAAGTAGATATTTTGCCCGAGGCAGAAATCCAACCAGACCTTTTGACCCATAGTGTCTATTACATTGAAAGATAACCGGCTTGATGTCTCGTGAAATTGCATTATTTTTGAATCACTAGGACAGGAATGAAAGAGGGAAAATATCAATAAATAAATGCTTACTTTGTCTTTGTCGGTTTGCAAAACATCACCCATTTTTTCTTGCTCAGCAACCAGCTCTTCCTTTTCTTTGTCGTGAAAGTCTTTCATCTAAAAAATGCAATAAGAGCACTTTTTGACATAAAGATTAATTTACTGTATAGAAGCACATCATCATCTACCTCCAAATGTAAGAATGGATGATGTTTGTCAAATAAATGTTTACTGGCAATAGTTGAATAATTAAACATAAAAACTCTTGCCTTATGTCTTTCCTTTACGGCTTGTTCAATGTGCTTCTTATTTTGTTCCCTTTTTCTCCTAACAAAAAAAATGAACTTAATATGTTGTCTTTGGTCAAGGTACTTAGGAATACCTAGCACAACTATTCTTGCTAACAGAACATTGCCATGAAAGATGATTTATGTTAATAAATACAATAAATATTATTTTGTTCTCTTATCGAGCTGTTTGACTCACTTCAAATATTGTTATATAATATTAAATAAATATTAAACCAGCAACTCCAATTATTATCATATTGACAGTTGTCTAAACCAGTAAGATGAAGAATGTAAATTTGGAAGAACTTGATTTAGACTTTGGGAGTCACTGGAGCATAATTTGGCACCAGTGAGGGATGTTGATATAAAAGGAGGAGGAAGTGCCGCAAGCTTAGTGATGATATATTACTCTGAAGAGAAAATGGGAATGAGAATGGAAAATGGTTAAAGGTGGGCCTGATTCCAAAGTCCTTGATGTATTCTGCATATCTCTTTAATTCTGTCATCATTTATCCTTCATCAGCTTATTATTGCTGTGCCGGGATTATTATGACCTTTCCCTAAGGGTCAACACAAGCTGAGCATAAATGACCATGGTACAGCTTGGCTTTTTGATAACCCATTACTGAAATTATATTTGTGTGATAAATTATTTAAATCTTAAATGTACCTAATGCTCTCCCAAGGTTAATAATTATTCAGGCAAAGAATGGAGCTAAAGAGTATTTTTTTRWAACAATTSTTTTATAATTGGTTTATATTTGCTATGAATGTATTCTTCAACAAGAAGAAATTTTATTTTGTGCACCRATTGTGGTCAAGTTGTTGTATWCTGTTCAATTCRCTTTCTATTCCATTCATCCTACTTTAAAAAAATCCATTCTATCGACCTATGGTTTTGCAAACCTTTGAAGTTCATCCTTTTCCTTAGTATTTCTGGATAAATACTTTAACTCTTCTCTATTCAGRTTATCTTGGTCTTTCTTTAAGTCATTTATTTGCCTGTTGGTATGAAGAAGTTATTGRATTATTGATAAATGCATATTTCCTCCTTTGGAGTGGTATCGTAAATGATAGAATAAAATTATATTTCAGAGGTGAATATATAAAAATTAAGAGGCTTTTGCATGAAGTTGCAGCAAAACAAAACAAAACTTACTTAGCATGAACATCATCAAGTAATTTGATTTGATCTTCATTAACTTGAACCATAACACGACCTAGTTCTTCGTATTGCTGGAAAAGAAAACAAGATATGTTTTTAGCATTGACAGATGAAGTATTCAACTGTTAATTTTACTTCATCTGTTAATTTTATCAAATTCAGTGCAAGAATGGTTGGCTTGCATTTTCACTACTTGAATGGACAGCGAGAGAAATTTTCTGTCTAACTGTCCGGCAGACATATGGAAACACTTAAAAGCAACATGATATCTATTAAATAAATCAATAATTATGATAATTTATGATAATMATATTGTAAATTRAATATTGTAACTTACAGGGTCAACTTGCTTTTTAGCAGCTGCAAGTTGCTCATTGAATTGCCTTTTCAACAATTCAAGCATCTCATCTCGATGTTTTCTCTTCAATTGATCAACCTATGACACAYTAARCATCCTCTTTCATTATTTTTGWGTGCTAAGAAAAACACTTTMCAAGTCGAGTCAATATATGACATSCCATACATAGATATTCAATGAATACTGACCTGACTGTCATGTTGTTTTGTAAGAGAATTGATCTCGTCCATTCCTTTTTTATAGGCTTCTTCATAACTCCTAATAAAATCATGATAGATWTGTTAAAGTTTGAAGTAGATTTATAAAGACATTTTTAAAACTACTCCATTTAACATTGAGTAGATATGCATGTTTGCATCAAAGCAAGACAACAGCGAGARAGTAATGATTTCCAAAACCCAAATTATTTTCCTTTGAAATTTGAAGCCTGCACCAAGTGATCATGCTATTTTTGAAAAACAAAATAAATCCCCTGGGGACAATACTGTAGACAGTACAAGTCAGATTCTCTTTTACTCTCAGGAATGGGTGAATATTGAGCGCAAAGCACGATGATCGAGGGCGCAGAGCACAAGCAAAAAACGGACTTTGCGAAAGTCTAAAAATACTGCTAATAATCATTCACTCATTTCCTACCCATTCTTCTCAGCCTTTCTCAAATCCTTTTCAACTCTTCTTTTCAATACTGCCTTGTCTTTTACTAGATCCTTGAACAGCTTGTCTTGATCTATAAAGTGACTCTTTTGTAGCTTATCTTTTTCCTGAAGAAAAACAATCAAACAAAATAATGAAAGAGGTTCAAATATAACACTGACTGTGATTCTTAAATTTAGATATTAACTGGGGAGAAAGTGTGTAGCAAGTGGTTAAAGCTTTGGTCCCTAATCCTAACATGTTCCTGGTTTGATTAAAGGTCTACGGCGAAAAAACTACAAGTGACTGGGGTTGTTACTTTACTCCATTGCTTCATGGTTTCATTTCTTTGGTGAGTGTAATAATATTATGATATATAGAGGATATTACATGGGCACACGAAGATACAGATTTTATCTTCAAGTGCTGAAAAGATCTCTCACGAGTTAGAGTAGCGAACATGTTATTATAACTAGTGAAAATATCAACTTACGAAATGGAGAACTATAGGCATTTTATAGATAATTATATGATTAATAATTAAT